AAAATTAGTCCACAGCAAACAAGATCGCTCTGCTAGTTTTTGTATTTGATCACACATGGGACAATTCCCAAGTGTCTAGGACTGTGTGATGCATCAGCAAATAATACATGCAGATCCAAGTAGGGTGGGCCTTTTGCAGCTGACAGATGGTAATTTTGTCAGCGCCAATTGTTTTTAAGTGCAGACCAAGGTCTTTAGGCACTGCACCCAGTGTGCCGATCACCACTGGGACCACCTTTACTGGCTTGTGCCAGAGTCTTTTTTAAAATTATTATTATTATTCATATAATCATAGAGTTGGAAGAGACCTCATAGGCCATCCAGTCCAACCCCACTTCAAACTACAAGAAAGGAGATTCCATCTGAACATGAGGAAGGACTTCCTGACTGTGAGAGCCATTCAGCAGTGGAACTCTCTGCCCCGGGAGTGTGGGTGGAGGCTCCTTCTTTGGAGCTTTTAAACAGAGGCTGGATGGCCATATGTCAGGGGTGATTTGAATGCAATATTTCTGCTTCTTGGCAGGGGGTTGGACTGGATGGCCCATGAGGTCTCTTCCAACTCTTTGATTCTATGATTCTGTTTAAAAGTTTCCAAAGAAGAGATGCCTCCACCACACTCCAGGACAGAGAGTTCCACTGCTGAACAGCTTTCACAGTCAGGGCTGTGAGAGCTGTTCTCACAGAATATATTTTTATTTATTTATACTCCAGTTTATCTCCCTAAAGGGGACTCAAAGGAGCTTTCCATCAGAAAAATGACATTCATGGAAAGCAGAGATTCAAAGTAGCACATGACTCTTATATCCACAGGATGGGTATCCACCGTTTCATTTACCCATGTACAACAAACAACATATGTCATCTCCAGCCTGGCTCTCTAGTATTCTTGGGCCAGAAGGTTGGCTGTTATCTGCGGTTTCATATATACATGCAGTATCTGGAAATAGATATGGAGGCTGAGCTGTATTGCTTTTTTGAATGACATTTCCCAGAATTCCCTCACTCACTTTGGATTCCGAGGATAATCTACTCTGACTGAATAAACTGAGGCTGATCTGATGTGGTATATCCCATATCTGACAGGCTGCTGCAAAGGCAAGAAGAGGTCCTGGCCATACAAAGGTGCCGATCTGTGTTTGGTCTTGCTGGACTGCCAACCTTACTCTTTGCTCATGATGTCAGTGTTGCAGAGGTTTCCAGCTATGACATGAGTCATATCTGTAGGCTGTCACTTGCAGTGATGTTGGCCAGGGAAACAGAGTGAGAAGGGAGGGTAGAAAAGAGAGAATTGTCCCCTTCTCTTCTTCCTCCCTTCTCCAATCACCCATTTCCCTGGCCTACACCACTGCAGGTGACAGCTGAAAGATAGCCATGTCACATTCAGAGACTGTCATGACATGGAAAATGGAAGACACAGTAACTATCATCCCATGCCTCTAAGTTACCCGAGTCCAGGAAACAAGGAATGGCATTGAGAACAGCTGCAACCAGTTTGATCCTGGGCCTGTCCAACTGTTCAAACAGCCCTAAAGTAGGTGGACACTGAAGTTCACAAATTTGGACTCTCCCCCAACTTTGATTTGCATGGACAATGTTGCATTAAGGTGGCCTTTCCCCACATGACCCCAGATCATCTCCATCCTGTATTTGATTTTCCACAGAGCTGATCTGTGGTCACTACAGATGTGCCCTAAGATGTCATAAGAGAAGTCAACAGCATCTAGGGCAGTGGTTCTCAACCTGGGATCCCCAGATGTTTTTGGCCTTCAACTCCCAGAAATCCTAACAGCTGGTAAACTGGCTGGGATTTCTGGGAGTTGTAGGCCAAAAACATCTGGGGACCCCAGGTTGAGAACCACTGATCTAGGGCTTACTTCCTTCCATCCCATACACCAGTGTTTCTCCAACTATGCTCCTCCAGGTGTTTTGGACTTCATTTCCCAGAAATCCTGGGCAGCTTACCAGTTGTTAGGAATCACAGGAGCTGAAGTCCAAAACATCTGGAGGAGCACAGATTGAGAAACTCTGCAGTATATTCCAAACACTTTCCCATACCATCAAAACAATGCCAAAGACTCATTTGTTGTCAAATGATAAGAGAATTCATACAAGGGAGACACTTGTGTTCCTTGTAAGAATCAGACCGCCACCTAACTCAGTGGTTCTCAACCTGGGGTCCCCAGATGTTTTTGGCCTACAATTCCCAGAAATCCTAACAGCTGGTAAACCGGCTGGGATTTCTGGGAGTTGTAGGCTAAAAACATCTGGGGACCCCAGGTTGAGAAGCACCGACTAACTAATACAGTGATCCACATTTACATAGATGAGTGCTTCTCCACCTGGGGGTCGGTACCCCTGGAGAGGTTGCAAGGGGGTGTCGGGGGGTCGCCAAATACCATCAGAAAACACAGTATTTTCTGTGGGTCATGGGGGTTCTGTGTGGGAAGTCTGGCCCAATTCTCTTGTTGGTGGGATCCAGAATGCTATTTGATTGTTAGTGAACTATAAATCTTAGCAACGTCAACGCCCAAATGTCAAGGTCCATTCCCCCCCAAAATCCCACCAGTGTTCACATTTGGGCATACTGAGTATTCATGCCAAGTTTGGTCCAGATCCATCATTGAGTCCACAGTGCTCCTTGGATGTAGGTGAACTACATCTTCCAAACTCAAGGTCAATGCCCACCAAACCCTTCCAGTATTTTCTGCTGGTTATAGGAGTTTTGTGTGGAGTCCCTGGTGGCGCAGTGGGTTAAAGCGCTGGGCTGCTGAGCTTGTTGACCAAAAGGTCGCAGGTTCGAATCTGGGAAGTGGCATGAGCTTCCGCTGTCAGCCCCAGCTTCTGCCAACCTAGCAGTTAGAAAACATGCAAATGTGAGATCAATAGGTACCGCTCCGGCGGGAAGGTAACTGCGCTACATGCAGTCATGACAGCCACATGACCTTGGAGGTGTCTATGGACAATGCTGAGCACCACACCCCAGAGTCGGACACGACTGGACTTAATGTCAGGGGAAAGCCTTTACCTTTACCTATAGGAGTTTTGTATGTCAAGTTTGGTTCAATTCCATCGTTGGTGGAGTTCAGAATGCTCTTTGATTGTAGGTGAACTATAAATACCAGCAACTACAACTCCCAAATGAGAAAATCAACCCCCCCCCCCCCGAATGCCACCAGTATTCAAATGTACCAAATTTGGGCCAGTGAATTACATCCTGCATGTTGGATATTTCCATTATGATTCATAACAGTAGCAAAATTATAGTTATGAAGTAGCTACGAACATAATTTTATCGTTAGGGGTCACCACAACAAGAGGAACTGTCATAAGTGTCGCGGCATTAGGGAGATTGAGAAACACTGGTGTAGACTGTAAATGGACATATGAAGAGTATGTTTTATACTACATTCGCAGAAGCGTACGAGAAGCTCAGCCTGTCATTGAACATCGAGAAAACCAAAGTGCTCTTCCAGTAGTCACCAGTCAATCCTTTTCCAATGCCAGAAATACAGCTTAATGATGTAACATTAGAAAATGTTGATCATTTCCGCTATCTTGGCAGCCACCTCTCAACATTGACACTGAAATACAATGCCTGAGCTCTGCGAGTGCAGCTTTTTTCCGAATGAAGCAGAGAGTGTTAGTGGACCGGGGCGTCCATAGGGATACCAAGGTGCTTGTTTATAAAGCTATTGTCCTCCCAACCTGCTATACACCTGCAAGACGTGGACTGTCTACAGACGTCACATGCAACTCCTGGAACGATTCCATCCGCTGCTTCTGGAAAATACTGCGAATCTCTTGGGAAGACAAGCGGACAATTGTCAGCATGCTGGAAGAAGCAAAGACCACCAGCACTGAAGCAATGGTCCTCCGCCATCAACTCTGCTGGACCGGCCACGTTGTCCGGATGCCTGACCACCGCCTCCCAAAGCAGTTGCTCTACTCTGAACTTAAGAACGGAAAACGGAATGTTGGTGGGCAGGAAAAGAAATTTAAAGATGGGCTCAAGGCCAACCTAGACACTGAGAACTGGAACGCCCTGACCCTTGAGCGCTCCAGTTGGAGGTCAGCTGTGACCATCAGTGCTTGACAATTTGAATGTGCCAAGAGGAAGGTGCGACAAGCCAAGTGCAACCGAGACCGCCTTCGACCTGGAAACCAATGCCCTCACTGCGGGAGAAGACGCAGATCAAAAATAGGGCTCCACAGTCACCTACGGACCCACCAGTACACTGATCTTGGAAGACTATCTATCCTACACGGACAACGAGGGATCACCTAAGTAAGTAAGTTTATACTACCACTAATAACTTGTAAAACTACAAGTAAAACAAATGATACAAGGAAGAAAAAGCAACCGTGATGTAGGACTGCCAGTTTTCATTTGCTTGAGCTCCTGCACATTTACTAGCAGCTTCAAAAAGAGAGGACATGGAGGAGAGTTGTGCCTGTGCAAGTGTTAGGCAGAGGAATAAGCAAAGCTGTTTTGTTTTCCTGCTGAGCCAGCAACTCAATTTACACAAATGGAACCCGCCACAAAATGCTCCCATGTGGAGTGCTGCTCTCTTCAGGAGTCCTTTCATTTGGTTTCCCAGCAGTTTTCCTTCGACCCCCTCAAGCAATTCGCATATTCAATCCCCACAGGGCTGCTTTTGAGGTTTCTCTTTTTGCACGCTTTCCCAAAGCATGAAGTTCACAGGCAATGACACTCACAGCATGAAAGGTAGACATCGAGAAAGGGACCGAGGGAGCAATAACTTAATTCTCTTTTAGCAACGAAGGAGCAGAAACATCTATAGTAATTTTCAGGTAACAGTATCACCTACAACTGCAGACATCAAGAGAAGGGAAGCTTCATCAACACTCACTATGTCTGGATCTACACTGCCAAATAATGCAGCTTGTACTGCATTATATGGATCTACACTGACCAGATACTGCATTCAAATTGCATTATTTGGCAGTGAAGATCCAGTCTTTGCCAGCCCAAAACTCACCCACAGCAAAACCCCAGAGGCACAAGATGAGGAGACTGCAAAGCTTCCCCATCTCAGCTCAGCTCTTCGTCCTGGCTTCTCCTGAAACCCAGAAGGGTGCCTTCCTCTTTTTAGACGAAGTAGCCAGCCACAGGCAGCTGCCGAAGCTACTCCGGGGTGGAGCTTCGTCTTGTGTTGCCAAACAACTTTTGCAATGAGTTGTCTGGAAATAAGGAAGACTGGCAGCCCAACCCTGTATCAATGGAGATGGACAAGGTCTGGTTCATCTGTATTCTTAAACTCACTCTCATCATTCCTCACCACTGGCTGTACTAATTAGGGCAGCTGGGAAATGCAGCTCAGCAACATCTAAAGCAGTGGTTCTCAACCTGTGGGTCCCCAGGTGTTTTGGCCTACAACTCCCAGAAATCCCAGCCATTTTACCAGCTGTTAGAATTTCTGGGAGGTRAAGGCCAAAACATCTGGGGACCCACAGGTTGAGAACCACTGATCTAAAGACATGATCCCCAACTTCCAGTTCTTTGGGGATTAGGACTTCATCTTCCAGAAGTCCACTCAAMAGAGTTACAAGCTRGGCAGATGCAGGGAATACCATGGATGTAGCATATCTGGAATTCAAGAAGGCCTTCCTTTGACAAGGTCCCCCATGACCTTCTGGGAGGTGAAGGCCAAAACATCTGGGGACCCACAGGTTGAGAACCACTGATCTAAAGACATGATCCCCAACTTCCAGTTCTTTGGGGATTAGGGCTTCATCTTCCAGAAGTCCACTCAATAGAGTTACAAGCTGGGCAGATGCAGGGAATACCATGGATATAGCACATCTGGAATTCAAGAAGGCCTTCCTTTGACAAGGTCCCCCATGACCTTCTGGCAAGGAAAGTAGTCCAATGTGGGCTAGGCAAAACTATGGTTAGGTGGATCTGTAACTCAGTGGTTCTCAACTTGGGGGTCGGGACCCCTGCGGGGGTCGCCAGGGAGTGTCAGAGGGGTCGCCAAAGACCATCAGAAAACACAATATGTTCTGTTGGTCATGGGGGTTCTGTGTGGGGTTTGGCCCAATTCTATCGTTGGTGGGGTTCATAATGCTCTTTGATTGTAAGTGAACTATAAATACCAGTCACTACAACTCGCAAATGTCAAGGTCTATTTTCCCCAAACTCCACCAGTGTTTACATTTTGACATATTGAGTATTTGTGCCAAATTTGGTCTAGATCCATCATTGAGTCCACAGTGCTCTCTGGATGTAGGTGAACTACAACTCCCAAACTCAAGGTCAATGCTCACCAAACCCTTCTAGTGTTTTCTGTTGGTCATGGGGGTTCTGTGTGGGAAGTTTGGTCCAATTCTATTGTTGGTTGGGTTCCGAAAGCTCTTTGATTGTAGGTGAACTATAAATCCCAGCAACTACAACGCCCAAATGTCAAGGTCTATTTTCCTCTAACTCCATCAGTGTTCACGTTTGGGCATATTGAGTATTTGTGCCAAGTTTGGCTAGGCAAAACTATGGTTAGGTGGATCTGTAACTCAGTGATTCTCAACTTGGGGGTCAGGACCCCTGCAGGGGTCGCCAGGGAGTGTCAGAGGGGTCGCCAAAGACCATCAGAAAACTATCAGAATTCTATCATTGGTGGTTTCAGAATGTTCTTTTATTGTACGTGAACTATAAATCCCAGCAACTACAACTCCCAAATGCCAAGGTCTATTTTCCCTGAACTCCAGCAGTGTTCACATTTGGGCATATTGAGGACACATGCCAAGTTTGGTCCAGTTCCATCATTGTTTGAGTCCACAGTGCTCTCTGGATGTAGGAGAACTACAACTCCAAAACTCAAAGTCAATGCTCACCAAACCCTTCCAGTGTTTTCTGTTGCCATTGGAGGTTTGCGTGCCAAGTTTGGTTCAGTTCCATCGTTGGTGGAGTTCAGAATGCTCTTTGACTGTAAGTGAGCTATAAATCCCAGCAACTCCAACTCCCAAGTGACAAAATCAATCAATCACCCTACCAACCCCACCATTATTCAAATTTGGGCATATTGGGTATTTGTGCTACATTTGGTCCAGTGAATGAAAATACATCCTGCTATCAGTTAATTGCATTATGATACATAACAGGAGCAAAATTACAGTTATGAAGTAGCAAAATAATGTTATGGTTGGGGGTCACCATAACATAAGGAAATGTATTAAGGAATTGCGGCATTAGGAAGGTTGAGAAACACTGCTGTAACTAGTTAAGTGAACGAACCCATGGGGTTCTTGTGGGTTTTTTCGGGCTATAGGGCCATGTTCTAGAGGCATTTCTCCTGATGTTTCGCCTGCATCTATGGCAAGCATCCTCAGAGGTAGTGAGGTCTGTTGGAATTAGTACAATGGGTTTATATATCTGTGGAATGGCTGGGGTAAAGAGCTCTTCTCTGGTGGAGCTAGGTGTGAATGTTTCAACTGACCACCTTCATTAGCATTTGAAGGCCTGGCTGAGCCTGGGAAACCCATGGGAACCATGGGGTGATTCTCCCCATCCTGGAAAGAAGTGTCAAGTCGAGTGCCATAAGCAGGGTTCTGTCCTGGGCCCAGTCCTGTTCAGGATCTTCATTAAAGACTTAGATAAAGGGTTTGAAAGCATGATCATCAAGTTAGATGAAGGGTTAGAAGGCAGGATCATCAAGAAAAATGACACTCCTGTCCTCATTCTCACAAGAAAGAAGAGAAGAGTCACTGGTGCATTACTGAAAAGGAGATGTAATATTCCAGAAGATAGGAGAAGAATTCAAAACGATCTGAACAGATTCGAGAGACGATTGGCCAAAACTAACACAATGAACTTCAACAGGAAAAAATGCAAGACCCTCCACATAGATAGAAAAAAAATGAAATACAAAGAGACAGAATAGGAGACGATGCCTGGCTCAACAGTAGGATGTGTGGAAAAGATCTTGCAGTCCTCATGGGAAGGAAGGTGAACAGGAGCCAACAATGTAATGCAGCGGCAAAAAAGTCAATGGGGTTTTGGCCTGCATCAATAGGAATATAGTGCCTAGAAACAGGGAAGTCATGCTGCTCCTGCTCTATTCTGCCTTGGTCAAATCACACCTGGAATCACATTGTGTCCATTTCTGGGCACTGCAATTGAAGGGAGATGTTGACTCTAAGCTGGAATGTGTCCAGAGGAGGGTGACTCAAAGGATCAAGGGTCTGGAGAACAAGCCCCATGAGGAGCGGCTCAAAGAGCTGGGCATGTTTAGCCTGCAGAAAAGAAGGCTGAGAAGAGCCATGTATCAAGAGGCAAGGGGAAATCCTAGGGAGGAGGGAGCAAACTTGTTTTTTGCTGCCCCAGAGACTAGAACGCAATGAAACAACAACAACAATTATTATTATTATTTCTCGCACTTCTACCCCGCCCTTCTCAACCCCCGAGGGGGGACTCAGGGCGGCTTACAAAAGGCACAATTCGATGCCAGCACAACAATAAGATAAAAATAAAACATATATAAACAGTAATTAAAACAATTAAAACAATCCATTATACATCATAATCCATAAAACCAATCTAGTGTTCAACGTTTGCCAGCTCAGAGTCCGTAAATTCAATTCCACATTGTCAAATCCATCAATTCTGGTCGTCGCTTGTCCTTTGTCTATCTGCCAGATTACCCAAAAGCCTGGTCCCAAATCCATGTTTTTAATTTCCTTCTAAATGAGAGGAGGGATGTTGAGGACCTAATTTCCCCGGGGAGCGAATTCCACAGGTGAGGGGCCTCCACTGAGAAGGCCCCGCTCCTCGTCCCCACCAACCTTACTTGTGATAGAGGTGGGGCCGAGAGCAGGGTCCCCCCAGAAGATCGTAAACTCTGGGGGACGTAGAGGGAGATGCGTTCGGACAGATACGCTGGGCCAGAACCGTATAGGGCAGTGGTTCTCAACCTTCCTAATGCCGTGACCCCTTACTACAGTTCCTTATGTTGTGGTGACCCCCAACCATAACATTATTTTCATTGCTACTTCACAACTATAATTTTGCTCCTGTTATTAATCATCTTGCAAATATCCAATATGCAGGATGTATTTTCATTCATTTGGCACAAATACTCGATACGCCCAAATTTGAAAACTGGTGGGGTTGAGGGGAGGATTGATTTTGTTATTTGGGAGTTGTAGTTGCTGGGATTTATACTTCACCTACAATATCAAAGAGCATTCTGAACTCCACCAATGAGGCAATTGAACCAAACTTGGGACACAGAGCTCCCATGACCAATAACAAATTCTGGAAGAGTGTGGTGGGCATTGACCTTGGGTTTTGGAGTTATAGTTTACCTACATCCAGAGAACACYGATGCATCTGGACCAAGCTTGGCATGAATACTCAATATGCCCAAATGAGGATATCGGTGCAGTTTGGGGAAGATAGACCTTGACATTTGGGAGTTGTAGTGGCTGGGATTTATAGTTCACCTATAATCAAAGAGCATTCTGAACTCCACCAATGATAGAAYTGGGCCAAACTTCCCAAACRGAACCCCCACGACCAACAGAAAATACTGTGTTTTCTAATTGTCTTTGGCGACCCCTCTGACACTCCCTCGYGACCCCCCTAGGGGTCCCGACCCCCAGGTTGAGAAACACTGGTATAGGGTTTTGTAGGTCAAAACCAGCACTTTRAATTGTGTTCGGAACTGGATCGGCAGCCAGTGGAGCTGACAACAACAGCTCCAACAACAACAACAACAACAACAAAACTTTATTTATACCCAACCACCCTCTCCCCAAGGGGACTCGGGGTGGCTTACATGAGGCCAAGCCCGACAATACATACATCAGTAAATCAACACAGCAATAAAATTAAAGAAAAAAAATCAAGTAAAATAAAAGTAAAAAAATACAGTACAAAACCATTATATATAACAAATCAGCAATAAAACAAAACATTTAAAACACAAGGATCCAACACTGTGGGCAGGGCCAAATCTAATAGATTAAAATTTTAAAACACTGGGTGTGAACAGCAGTAAAGTGAATCTAAACAGGGGTTTTTAGAGGGTAGGGTTGATTAACCCAACAGGTAGAATAAAGTGCTTCAAAGGGCATTTTGCAGAGAATTGGTCAGAACAGGGAATTATTATTTATTTAGGGAAGG